ATTGTGTGCTCCTTGAGCACCGCTCCAGTGAGCAATCTAGCTGCCACTTGCTGGCCCAGTTGAAGCTTCCAAACAGTCTTCAAAGGGAACCCCACGTAGAGCACGTTGCAGTAATCTATACGGGATGTAACCAGAGCACGGACCACTGTGGCCAAGTCAGACTTCCCAAGGTACAGGCACAACTGGCGCACAAGTTTTAATTGTGCGAAAGCTCCCCTGACCACCGCCAAAACCTGGGGTTCCAGGCTCAGAGATGAGTCCAGGATCACTCCCAAGCTGTGAACCTGCACCTTCAGGGGGAGTGTAACCCCATCCAGCACAGGCTGTAACCCTATGCCCTGTTCGGTCTTTCAACTGACCAGGAGGACCTCTGTCTTGTCTGGATTCAATTTCAATTTGTTCACTCTCATCCAGATGGTTAGAGCTGCCAAGCACCGGTTTAGGACCTGAACAGCCTCTTTAGTTCCAGGTAGAAAGAAGTGATAGACTTGAACATCATCAAATGTACAAATGACATCGAACTCCAAAACTCCAGATGATCTCTCCCAGAGGCTTCGTGTAGATGTTGAACAACATGGGAAACTGTATTGAGCCCTGCGGAACCCTGCAGGGCTCAATAGAGAAGTATAGAAATACCTTGCTATTTTAAATGAATTGAAGTATCTGATGCCATAGGAATTACATCCAAGGATTTTGAAAGAACTAGCAGAAGTAACCTGAATCTGGCAATAATCTTTGAAAATTCTAGGAGAACTGAAGAAGTCCCAGCAGACTGAAGCAAATGGTGGGGGAAAGGTTCAAAATAATTACTACCCAGTCAACTAACATCAGTGCTAAAGCAGATTATTAAATAGACAATCTGTAACCACTTAGAAAGAAATGCCATGATCACTAAAAGTCAATATAGGTTTCTCAAAAGCAAGTAATGACAGAATAATTTCACCTAATATTTTGAGTTACATGCTGGTAAATGAAGGAAATGTTGCAGACGTAGCATATCTTGATTTCAGTAAAGGCTTTATTTAACAAGGTTACCCATGACACCCTTCCAAACAAATGATTAAAATGTGAGTGGATTTGTAATTAGTTGATTGGCCAAAACCAAGGGTTGCTTCTTCTTCATCCTGGATAGACGTGACCAGCGGAGTGCTACAAGACTTTGTCCTTGTCTCAGTGCTCTCCAAGATCTTTATCATTGACTTGGATGATGGAATAGAGTAGGGGTTCTCAAACTTTTTGAACTGCAGAGCCCTTTTCGAAGCAAAAGTTTCTCATTGAGTCCCGAGAAATATGTATATATTTACACACACACACAACCACACACAGATAATAAAAGATTACTGACATTAAAAGGACATGATTTAAGATATGGATGGCATGGATACTTAAAATATGAAAAAAAGAACACATTATTCAACTCTAATTTTAAGAGCCACTTGCTAAGAAATACACTATACAGAGTATGGGTCAAGCCTCTACTTAAAAATACCTTTGTGGACATCTACCAAAGAAGCCTTCTATTGGACAGAGATGGAGGAGACCAATGCCCCACCTATAAATAGGTATTAATTGGGCAACAAAATGAAACTCATATTTAAAACCCAAGCCAACTACAACCAGAGGGCACACAATTTTCATGGTTTCAATATAGACAACAACAAGATATCAAATAGATAAAAAGATAGGCATTGATTGGAAAGGCAATGAAATAGATACTATTTTTTCCAGTCCAAGGAAAACCAAATTGCAAAAGTCTATAAAATATTATTAATAGTAGACAAAGAAGTACATCTAATCAAAGATTGTATGATTCAATGGTTAAAGATTGTGGGCCATAATATTCACCTAGACTAATGGGAACAGATATGGAAAACAAAGATTAAATTCACAAGATGTAATAGAGTAAGAGAAAAACATTACAAGATGATGTATAGATGGTATATGACCATCTATACATCAAAGATGGAACCAACATTTTAAAATGCTTGTTGGAAATGGCATCAAAAAGAGAATTTTTTACCATATGTGGTGGACATGTCCTAAAGCAAAAAAGGATTATAATTCAAAAGGACACTGAAAACATATTAAGAATTAAAGGAACACTAGAGCCAGAAGTCTTTCTGTTGGGACTTACAAAATCAACACTACCAAAAAGAAATCCCTCTTTATACACTGTAACTTTAGCAATGATTGTTTATTGCTTACTGTTGGAAACAAGAAGAAATTCCCACCCAAAATCTATGGATTACAAAAATGTTGGGCGTGGTAAAGATGGACAATGACAAGGCCTATACAATCACCAGATCCTTCCAGATTTGAAGAAGAATGGCAGCCCTTTATTGACTATTTAAAAGAAAAAAAGAAAATGAAAATATCGGGTAACATTAAGGGAAAATTGGTAGTGCTGAGATGTAGGAATAACAAGAAAGAAATAGAGAAGTTAGTGAAAAGAATAACAGTATCTCCAATGATATCCAAGGGATCCTGGAAAGTTAGTCTAACAGGGATAAAAAAAATTTGACAAAAAGATTTTTTTCCAGTTATGAAGACAACAACAGAGACAGGGTAGGAAGCGTTAGTTGGGCTTTCTGTTTCCTATCTTTTTTATCTCCTTTGTTTCAAAACACTATACACCCGCTTTTCTTACTTTCTGCTTTAGATTAGAAAAAAAATGTTTTCTTTTTTTCTTTTTCCTTTTCAAAATCATAGAAACCTTTTTATATTTATTGTCGAAGGCTTTTATGGCTGGAATCACTAGGTTCTTGTGGGTTTTTTCGGGCTATAGGGCCATGTTCTAGAGGCATTTCTCCTGACGTTTCGCCTGCATCTATGGCAAGCATCCTCAGAGGTAGTGAGGTCTGTTGGAAATAGGACAATGGGTTTATATATCTGTGGAATGGCTGGGGTGGGGCAAAGAGCTCTTCTCTGCTAGAGCTAGGTGTGAATGTTTCAGCTGATCACCTTCATTAGCATTTGAAGGCCTGCCTGAGCCTGGGAAAACCTTTTGTTGAGAGGTGTTAAGATGTGCCTGGTTGTTTCCTCTCTGCTGTTTTGCTGTTGTAATTTTAGAGTTTTTTTAATACTGGTCTCTTGGAGAACACGAAAATGAACAAAATCTGGCTACCAGTATTAAAAAACTCTAAAATTACAACAGCAAAACAGCAGAGAGGAAACAACCAGGCACATCTTAACACCTCTCAACAAAAGGTTTTCCCAGGCTCAGGCAGGCCTTCAAATGCTAATGAAGGTGATCAGCTGAAACATTCACACCTAGCTCTAGCAGAGAAGAGCTCTTTGCCCCACCCCAGCCATTCCACAGATATATAAACCCATTGTCCTATTTCCAACAGACCTCACTACCTCTGAGGATGCTTGCCATAGATGCAGGCGAAACGTCAGGAAAAATGCCTCTAGAACATGGCCCTATAGCCCGAAAAAACCCACAAGAACCTTTTTATATTTGATAACAATGGAAAAAAGATAAAGATATAAGATATCAAAAATGCCTCTTTTCTATATCCACTCTTGTACCCTTCCTCGATCCTCATATATTTTTCAATAAAAATTATATGGAAAAAAAATTCAGCATCACATTCAACTTCAAAGCATGCCCCTTGGGTGCCCATAATGATGCCTAAGCAAAGAGAATTTTACCGTTTCTTCTTCCAGCCATCCCTGCATAGCAGATCCCTTGGCTGAGAATCTTCTGATATGCAGAGTTAGTAGACATAGTGTTAGAACCCTCACAGTATGATTTAAAGAAGCCCTGGAGATGGTTTGTGCTGTGTTTGGGCAGAAGAGGAATGCTTTGGTCTTATTTTTCTTGAAAGGATTCAACTGTGCTCCACTTCTTGCAAGAGCATGAACTGATAAAGTGTGCAGGAAGTGGTGCATGTTCATTTCCCCACCCTGCCCTAATCATCAGCAGAGAACAACATGTTGATTGCACCCTCAGTGTTTTAAATCTCAGTTGTGAGAATTCATAAGATTGTGTTTGGTGGCAGCTTTACTCTGGATATTAGCTTTCAGCATACTGCAAGATACTTTTTGAAGCTTTTGTAGCCAAGGGGTACACAGGGAAATCCAGTAGTGATTTGATTGCTTATCCATTACAAGTGGGCTGGGGCTAAATCTAGCCTGCCTGTGGTCCCAAGCCAATCCCTCTGAGGTTCCCCAGATGGGTATGCACCCTTCCTCATGACACTGTTGGTTTCTTAACTCTTTTGTAGGTTCTTCACTCTAAAAGGTTGAAATTCCTCTCCTAGTTACAGGCAGAAACAGGCATTTTGGATGCCCCTCCTTTGCCATTAGCCTCACACATTACTGGAGTGTGCTCCCTGAGAATTGCTCTGAAATTGAATTTGACTCTTGGGATGGAAGTCTGATTTCTGAAAAATTCAGTGGTTGACAATGCTACCACAACCCACAGAAATGTGTAAACAAAATGATATACTAATTAAAACGACTGCGCTTTATCAAACTGCTAATGCTGTTGTCCATCACCTTCACCTTAGGCAGAAATGTTTTGTTTACTGCCATGTTATCCATAGCCATCTAATCCCATATTTGTTGGCTTCAGGTGGCAGAGATATCTCTGTACCGTTTCATGTCCAGGTATTTCTTGCCATCATCGCCATTACCATCGTTGTCTCTTTGTAATGTGCTTAGAATCAACAAAATCTATCATACAGATAAAAATGACACTTTCTCTTGCAGGATCACAGTTGCCTTTTACACTAAACAGTGTATTCCGCTCCTTTCTTTGCACCTCATGATTATAGCCAACTTATCAAATCTAAATTACGCTACAATTTGGATTTATAAAGAGAGATATCTGTAACATTTAATATGCTAGACTGCCTGCTCCTTCTGAAATGAGCATATTCATGTGGGATGAAATTGCATTTTGTGCATAGAATTTTTCCTGGCCACAGATGAAGTTGAAGCCAGCTCTGTCCTATGCTGTAGTGAGACAAATACACTTTCTGACACAAGAAACATTTTCTCAAAAATAGGGATCTTTATTTAAGTGTAACTCAAGAGGACATCTAGCCCCAGGTTACAATTTCTCATTACATGTATTGGAGCGCTACCAAAATAGCTTGGTTCTCCCAAGAAAATCTGTCCTTCTCAAGAAGAAAGAAGTCAGGGCTATTGTTCATATAAAACCTGCATTTATACGTGCTGAACAATGCATGATAAGGTGCTTTGTATTATTTTAAATGCATGAATAGGCTAATACATTCCTGAATGTTGATATTTACAGTTGTTTTGGCGCAAGGAGAGGAAGAGATGAATGATAAGGAAATATTAGTTTGAATGGTTGTGTTTCTAATATATAGACCTGTTGTCATATAAAAACTTAGAGAAACAAGAGATGGTTCCTGCATCTGTTTAATCCATCTAAATAAATGCATCTGCTTAAGGTCAAATATACACCAAATGCAAGTAATATACTTAATTGTACATTCATTGTGCATAAATGTACTTAAATTTCATATTAAATGCATTTAATTGTACATTAAAAATCAATACTAGTACTATCACATTATTTTTAACTTTATATGAATACTCATCTGCTTTGGCCCCAAATTTACTCCTGATGGCAGCATGGAAAGGCTTTTGCACTTCTCAAACAAAAGGATAATTTTCTGCATTCCATTTTTTAAAAAATACTGAAAAATGTCCAAAAACATTGAAGTTCCAAGCTAGAAGAAATTTATCATAGCTGTAATGCTATCTAATTGCCAATGGAAAATGCAACATTGAAAAAGCTTGCTTCTTAAAAGAGAAACTGTTCAATTTGTCCAGTGAAATACAGTAGTCTGTTAAGCTAGTTAAAGCAAAAGATCAACACTGGCACTTACATGATTGACTGTGTGTGTGTGTATATCCAACATGTTGTGAGGTGGTTACCTGGAACAGGACTTCTGGCCTCTCTAGAGAGGATATTGCTTCCGTGTTTAACTATGCTGTGAGTTATTCTAGACAGCCTGGAATTTGGAAAGGATGGACTCAGGAATTTATTTTCCAAATCAGTAATTATACTGTGTAACAGTTCTTGTTTCTGAGTTATAATGTCATTTCCTCCTAATGGATTCTATTATAAAAACATGGGGAAAGTTTATTAAACTGCAAAAACTTTGTTTTTGCGGGACATCTTGCAACACATTTTGCTATAGTTTTTTAATGAATATCTCATACAGTCTCAACCACTTCAACATAGTTTGTGGCAGCAACAAAAGCAAGGTTTCTGGAATATAACAACTACTTTTAAAGTAAGTACTGCACAAATAAACAGGAAATAGCACTTTCAAACTAGGAACAGAAACATTTTCAAATTTTGTTACATAGTGTTATGAAAGCAGTAGTTGGCTAAAACACTTTAAAAGTTTTTTTAAACCTCCCCTGTTAGTGAAACAAGGGCATTTCTGGAAATGAAATCATAGGGTTTTTAATAGAAAATGTTTATTCTCTGAAGGTTAAAACTATGCCACAAACTTGTATTCCACAGTAGTTTTCAAAAGCGACGTACCCTGTGCTACAATCATATTGTCTCTGTTATCGAGTAGGTTGCAGTCATCTAGGATGTATAGAGAGTGTTTACTCTCTTCCATGATAAGGACATTATTTCTCTTGTGCATAGTAAATAGTTTATGAAACAGTCATATTAGAATAAAAAAATCACTCTCCTTTATGGGAGAAATTTCAATCAATTATCCTTCACCCAAGGAGCATTTTTAAAACTTCTGTGTTTGTTTTGGTGAAGAAACTCTTTATAAATATGCCTTGTTTTTTCTCTTACTCCTCCACTCTTGCTCGGGGTTGCTTGCTACCCATTTGCTGGTGAATGTGCTCTTGCCTCGTAGGATGTGAAGGCAAGGTCAGAAAAGGCTGAGCTGCTGGATTCAGTATCCAACTTAAGCTGCAGAAATTTAGGACTTCGAGCATCTGGAAAGTCCTCACTGACAGCCAGCTTGACCTTGCCATTCTGTCTCTCCTTGATGGGCTCCAGGAAAACAACATGCTTGTTTGCACTGATCTTGCGATTGATGGCTGGTGGGGTGGTGCTGAGAATGGATGACTGGGCACTGCAGTCTTGAGGAGGATTTACAGGCTTCTTGCAGCACTTTGAGCAGTGACATGGCGTGATGTACAAGTACAGCAGGACCAGAACCAAGCTCACAACACATCCAAGGAGAGTGGTTAGACCAGTATTGAAGGACTCCACTGGCTTGGGATACTGGACAGTGATGTTGACTTTATGTGTCCTGTTGATCTTTTGGACCTCACTGATAGCTATGCATACATAAACTCCAGAATGCAAAGTTTTGGCATTTATTATCTTTAAGCTTCCATTTTTGAAAAGCTGATGTGTCTTATCAGTGTGTTTCAAATACATAAATAATTCATAGCGGGGAGAGAACCACTGGTAGGTGGTGGTATTGTCCTCATGGAAGCCTGTGTTGCAGTCTATTATCAAGGATTCTCCCACTTTGCAGTGCACTTTTGGAATAGCTGCTTTCCTCTGATTCTCTGAACAATTATCAAAATACTCATTGTATTTGAAAGTTTTGAGTAATGACCGTGGCTCATGAGCATAGATTTTGCAAGTATGTTCCTCTATGAAATCTTGCACAGAACTGAAACCATGGTGCTTCCATTCCTGGAACATCTGGTGGACAGAACAGTCACATTTCACAGGATTGTTGTGAAGATATAAGCCATTTTTAACGTACCTTGGCAAGGACCTTATTACTTCAACAGGAATGGTACTCAGGTTGTTCGTGGACAGATCAAGAGTTCTCAGATAAGGATGTTCAAGTCTTTGAATGAATTCAAATGGAAATTTGGTTAGCCTGTTCCAACTCAGATAGACTTTTCTTAAACTGGTTAGCTTGACAAAGGCGTTTTCATCAACTTGTACAATCTTGTTATTGTACAGCAAGAGTTCTTTCAAATTCACAAGGTCTTCAAAGTAATATCCTTCCACAGTGTGCAGGCAGTTGGAGGACATGTCCAGGTGTGCAAGGTCAGTGACATTGTAGAACACTTTTTGTGAGATGTTACTGATTTTATTGTGGCTGATCCGTAGGATTTGGAGGCGTGGTAAGGCGGCCAGCCAATTACCATTAAGCCAAGCAATGTTGTTGTGGCTGAGATCGAGGGTAGTAGTTGTGGGAGGCAGTGTGACCGGAACCTGTTCAAGGCTCTGATTTGCACAACTCAAGAGATCAGCAGTGCAGATGCAACCATCAGGACAGTTTGCTAGAACATAAAATTTGTTTAAGTTGCTAAGCTGAATACACAGTTCAAAAAATAGAAGCTTCCCAAGGAATTTCCAAATAGATATAGCCAATGTCAGCACATTCATTGTGTAACAGTTCACCTTGTGTTGCCAGCAGCATGGAACAACGCTGTCAGAAGTAAAATCCACACAATATTATGCTGCCATGAAATTTCTGCTCAGGATGTGCTGTTTTCAGGAGTTGTACAAACTTGCAAGAAGTTCAAGTATGGTTGTTCTAATCTTTTTAAAGGAAAATGCATCAGTGTATATTATCTTGAACTCTACTTCATAAGCCTTTGAAAGATTTGTAAGGTTACCTCCAAATAATCTAACCTTTCATCCTTTTGGAGCTTCTTGGTGGACAGAGATATTGGATCCATTTGTTTCTTAGCTGAGCTTAATTCCTTAAAGCCCAAAGTTTCCATAAATGGATCCCCATCTTGACGTTAAGCAACTCCTCCACAAGAGGGTCAGGTAGGAGGGTGTCCCTTCTCCTCTGTAATCCCAAATGGAAAAGGTAAAGAAGGCAGCTCTTACCCTTGTTATCTTCGTTTCTGGGTTATCCTGAGGAGCATCATTCCTTCTGGCTGCCCGTATTGTGTTTCAGCTGTGCTCAGTGTATGCAAACACTTTCTCCCTCTTCTGTTCCTATTTACAAGCTGTCTGTGAAGACTTACTGAAGGGTAAGTCCTGTGGGCAGAGAGCAATGCTATTGGTTTGTGTTAAGAAGGAGTCAGGATAGAAGGGGAGGAGAAAAGAGAACCAATCATGAAGGATTTTTTTTTAATGGCTTGTTGTTTCTTTGTGATGCCATGTGGGGGCAGCACAGTCCTTTGGAGTGTTTCTGGGATTTGCCATATCAGAGTGGCACAGGAAACTGCAGTAATTGGAGCCAGCAGAATAATTACAAGGAGAAGCAAGAAGAAAGAAAGGGAGAGCCTCAGTAAACGAAGGAAGATAATGATCTTGTTGAGTAGCCCTGGCTATTTTGTTTTCCCAATTGCTTTAGTGTGGAGCTGATAAGGCTTCTCAGATTAAATATTTCTTCATTGCTGTGCTCACTAACATGGATCATGATCTCACAGTAGTGAAATATGCACAACTTAGACTACAGGTCCATTATATCCACAGAGTAGGATATACTCTATAAGAATAGGACTCTGGAAACCAGTTCTCTAATTCCCGGTTGGACTGGGTGACCTTGGGCAAGTCACACACTCTCAGTCCCAGAAAAACTTATGAGAAGTTTGCCTTATGGTCTCCATAAGTCACAAATAACTTGAACACACACAACAACATAAAGATATCAACGTAACCACTTGCAACCACAAAGATAATAATAATAGCTTAGCTAGGGAAAGTGTTATATGGGTTTTTGTTTGATGACTTGTTCACATAGCATTCTTAATTTACTCATGGAGAAAGCTTGGGCAGTCATTGTTCATACATTCTGTGAGTAAGTTGGGAGCAAATACAAAATGCTTCCTTACTTGACAGTCCATGATATCCCCTTACCACAAGCAAGGCAAATTGAGGTTTCTTTGATGTTTTGGACTCCGGGCTTCTACTTTCATTGTGATATGTAATTTGAGGCTTGCTTTCTTTTGAAGTTAATGAGTAACTCCCTTGGCACTGTTTCAAACTTTCCCACCGAGGCTCTTACCAGGAAAGGGTCTGTTGAGAGAAGGCTGCTAGCTGGAGGCAATGACATCCTTTCTGTTGCTATGCTGAATTTTCACTACACTTGTGATCTGTTCTTTCAGTCTTTTCCCCTTTGCTGCGACCTTAATTTTAGCAAACTGAGATAGCAGTAGGATGCAGCCTCATTATCCCAGCAATGTTATTCTGTACTGAAATAAAACTGTATCTTGTACCATGTACAGATACCAGGGACAGAATTCTCATGGACAGATACATAGAGTTGAAAGGGCAGAAAGAGCTAGCTACAACCATTGTCCTTTTTTAGTGTTTAATACATACTGCAACTGGCCCATTGCACATAGTTATTTGGACACCTTACGATTTCCCACACTTACATTTGCATATATTTCTTTAGCATTTTCCCACTATGTGCTTCCTATTTCTATCTTTCCTCACTAATTTCTCTCAGCAGTTGTATCTTGACCTTCACTATGAATAGGTCCACATATTGTCAGAGATGGGAAGCCTACTGAGGCTATTGCACTGGGAAAAGATCTAGTACAACAAGCAGTCTCAGATCAGTATGATAAAACAAAGGGAGGCAGAGCTGCTTGGTATTTACCTACTAACTTTGACCCTGTAGAAACCTATGATTGCTCTGCAAGGTCAACATGAGGTAAGAATGTCAGCACATGCGTTTAATTTACCATTTGTGCTCTTCACTGCTTAAGCAGGCGTGAATGTTGACCAGGCATGTCGGGAGAGTAATGGTTGGGGCAGAAAGAGCAGGGGCTGAAGTGTAATTTCCAGTCTACTGTGTTTTAGAGAAGTACAAATCAAAGCCAAGTAGTTGGTTTCCATTAGGATGACAAATGACTAATTTGGCTGCTGCAGCTGATGAATGAGATGGGCACTTAACCCTCTATTTTCCACTTGCAGATAAAGTGATCTGTAATAGAGATTTGTCAGATGTTTTCTTATGTGCTGGTTCTTTGCAATGTACCAGCACATAAGAAAACACCTGACAAATTTCTGTTCCAAAACACTTTCTCTGCAAGTGGAAAATGCAGTACAAGTTCCTCCATAGTTCCTTTTATCTGAGTTACTCTGTTTACCTTTTTATTTTCCTCTTTTCTCTGCCAGAGATGAGATCCACTAGAATAGCATGATTTTGTCTCTTGTGATAGACAACTCATGCTCTGTTTTAAAGTCCTGTTTTACAGTAAACATACCACCTCTTAATAACTCTTTAACCCCAGAATCTATGCCTATATTTACAGACAGTGAAAAAAATTTCAGTGCAGTAAAAGACATAATATAAATGATTTTGTTGTTGTTGTTAACTGTCATCATGTTGACTTCAACTTACAGCAACCCTGTGAATGAGAGACCTCCAAGTCACCCTGTCATCAATAGTCCTACTCAGATCTTGCAGACGTGGGACCATAGCATTTTATTGAGTCTTTTTGTCTATAATATGGCCTTCTTTTTGGTGTTTTTACTGTCATTTTGAATTGGTCTTCCCATTATCCCATCTTATTTGAAGGTTTCCATCATTTTTCCATTAGCAGAGAAGTTCCCTATTGATAATTTTTGGGACTACAGAGCAGTGGCACCCACTTCAGTCATCATGAACTGCCTTGAAAATCTGACCTGTAGGCATATAATTTCATACCTTATATATACATTTGATAATCATCCATTTGTATATAAAACTAACAGATCTATGGAGGATGCTATAGCCATCATTCTTCACACTGCTCTGACTCATCTGGAATAATGGCAGAACTATGTGAGGGTGCTTTTTGCAGACTTTAGTTCTGCATTTAACACAATTCTTCCACATATATTGGTGCCTAAATTTATGGATCTTGGACTTACATATTCAATCTGTTTTTGGATTATGAACTTCTTTCCTGGATGTTCCCAGAGGGTTAGACTAGGTAATCATATCTCTTTAGCTCTTATTTTAAACACTGGTATGCCACAGAGCTGTTTGTTGAGTCCCCTACTTTATACTCTTTACACATATGATTGCTCCCCATTCACCATACTAATATCATTGTTAAATTTGCAGATGATACAACAGTGGTGGGGCTTATCTCTGAAGAGGCTGAATCTGACATCCAGGATGAGGTGGGCTGGCTGCTCTTGTGGTTCACGGACAATAATTTGGTTCTTAACATTAATAAGACTAAGGATCATATAGTAGATTACAGAAGGAATAGATCAGAAATTCAGCCTTTTGTTATAATGTGCCCAGAGAATTATTGGTTGTCCTGTCCCCTCTTTGGAAGAACTGTATAATTCCCACTGCTTTAAGAAAGCTCAAAATATTCTTAAGGATCCATCTCAGCCTGGAGAGAGAGAGAGATATTGTTACTATCTGGCAGGCGATATAGGATGATCAAACAAGGACAGATAGACAGAGATAGCTTTTATCCTAGAGCTGACTATATATTTTCACTGATGTGGCATTAGATGTTGTGAAATAGTGATTAGAATATGGAAGGATGGGTGTTTTGTTTTGTAATTGTACATATATAATGTGATCGAGGACGGCATTTAATTTCACTGTATGGTGTACAATGACAATAAAGTTATTCTATTCTATTCTGTCATCTACCATTTTTGTCTTTTCTAGGGAGTCACGTCTTCTCATGATATGGCCAAAGTATGCCAGCCTCAATTTAGACATTTGGATTCTAAGGAGAGTTCAGATTTGATTTGATCTAGGACCCATTGATTTGTCTTTTTAGCAGTCCGTGATACCCATAGGACTCTTCCTCCAACACCATGTTTCACTGTCCAGTTTTCACAAGAAATGAAAAATGTGATAATGCAATGGTATCAGCAAACCTAACTTTAGTGTTCAATGATATTTCTTCACACTTCAGATTCTTGTCTAGTTTCTCCATAGCTACTCTCCTAAACCCTAGTCTTCTTCTGATGGCTTGTCTGAAGTCGCCATTCCTATTAATGACTGAGTCATGGTCTACCTTAAAGTTAGATAGAGAATCATGGAATCATATATTTGCAAGAGACCCCAATTGTTTTTTTACTTTTGCAGCTATCCTTTGCCTCTAATCACATCAGACTGACTATAATATGGCATCATCTGCATATCTTAAATGTGGTGTTTCTTTTTTTAAAAAAAACTTGTCTCTTTCCTCCAAGTCTAATCTTGCTTTATGTTTTATATGTTCAGCATACCATTAAACAGGATGATGAAATTCAGCATTGCTTGAGTCATTTACCAATTGGAAATAATTCCATTTCTTTTTATACCGACAGTGGCCTCTTGTCATATCAGGACAATCAGATGTTGTGCACAGAATTTTTAAAAATGATTTTAAGGATCTATGCAATCACTAACTTTTTATAATCTTTAAAGCACAGGCTGATGTTTTTCTTAAATTCTTTGGTGTACTTTATTATCCAACTTGTGTTTGCAATAGGATTTCTAATGCCTCTTCCTTTCTTCAACCCAGTTGGACCTTTGAAATTTCTCCCTGAATATATGGTAAAAATTGTAATATTTTAAGTATCCTTTTTTTTGCATGGGAGATCAATGCAATCCCCTTTCTTGGAAATTAGAACATATGTATTGTTGAAGGCTTTCATGACCGGAATCACCGTGTTGTTGTAGGCTTTTCGGGCTGTATGGCCATGTTCTAGAAGCATTCTCTCCTGACATTTCACCTGCATCTGTGGCAGACATCCTTAGAGGTTGTGAGGTCTGGAACATATATTGGGTGTTTCCAGAGATACTTAGGACAGGAAGAAGTCTTAGAGAATTTATTATTCAAACTAAGTCTTGTTTGAGAAGGACAGTTTTCCTCGGTTGAGTTGAGTTCCTGTATCCTTTAGTTATCCTTTAGCCCTAGCTTGCTCCTCATTCCTGTTCTCTTAGTTTAGTCTTAAGTCCTTTCTTGTTGATCTTGATTTCTGGCTTGCTTCTTGTTCCTGTTTTATAGTTTGTCCTTCAGCTCTGACTACCAATTTTGTCCCAAATGTCCTGTCTCATGTCAGAATTGATGCCTGTCTCTAGCTCTGACAACCGGAGACAAAGACTGTCCC